AACCGCTGCCCCGGGATGGAAAGGGGCAACGGTCTGTCTCTCCTTCGGCATCCACCGGCCTTAGCCACAGTAGGGCGTGGGGCAAAGGGCGAGCACAGAGGCAGGGCTTTGCGGGAGATTTTCAAATGAATTATTACAGGAAAGAGGGTAAGAGGCAGGGCACAGCAGAGTGGGTGGGAGGGTGGCCGCCCTGAGCCCACTTGCCCCCAAAGGGCTGTGTTTTGTCAGGAGGGGGTCCCTCTTGCATCACTGGTTCTGGGGTGTGGAGAAAGCACTGGGCTGGGTGGGGGCAGGCCATGGTCCCAGGGACATGGCGGTGTGTAGCCAGGGCCCCTCAAGGGCTGGAGCCTGAGGGCCAGGGGCGAGATGGGGACAGAGAGGACAGAGAAGGCGGTGGGAGGAGGGGGAGGGCAGAGAAACTATGGGAAGGGAAGTGGGGAGACTCCCTTCCTGTGCCTCTCAGGGGTTTTCACCTCTCCTCACACAGTCTGCAGTCTGCTCGGGTTTATTCCTGGGGTATTTACAGCCTTTTTGGTTGTTTTGCTTATACATGGCGATTCTATTTGCTAACGAGCTGTCTGTCGCGAAGCCGTGACTTTTCGTGAATGCATTTGGAAACGGGCATCTTCTTAACTCTGCTTTATCTACTGACCTCCTCAGTGCTGTGTCTTCACGACCCACCTGCATCAGGAGCCGGCGCCTCCTTCCTGATCTGTTTGTCTAGGTTCTTTCTCTCACGGATCATGGGCTGGTGCGGGCAGAATGGTGCCCAGGACTGAGGTGGCACGGTCATCCGTGCCTTGTCCCTGACTAGGGCAGGTGTCTCGCATTTATCGTTAAGTGTGAAGAAGGTGTTTGTTTGCTGGTATCTATTTACGAAAGGTTTTTGAAAACAACAGCAATAAGCTCTTTTTCAATTATCTATGAAGATAATTATATTTTTCTCCTTTGAACTATTAAGGTGGTAAATTATAGTAAGACATGAGGGCAGATTTTAGTCTCAATATACGTATTAATGCTGACTTCACGAAAAGAATTTCCTGTTTCTGTGTTGTCTGCGAAAGCTTAAATGCAGTTAGAATTGTCTATTCTTCGAAGGTTTAAGAGAACTAACTTGTGAAACTGTCTGGATTTTAGGCCTTATTTTTTTTGGAAAGGAAAGAACTTTTCTCTTTCCTTTTTTTTTCTGTTTACACTCCCCCCTCCAGCTTCATCGAGCTATAATTAACAAATAAAAATTGCCTTTTTTTTTTTTTTTTACGGTGTACATGTGATGTTTTGCTACCTGGGTGCAGAGTGAAATGATCACCACCTCGCTTCCCATAGTTATCATTGTAAAGAGCTCCATGGTAAAAGTCATCATCATTGGTCTACATGAAAAAACATGGATTTCTGGGTTAATATTGGTAATTTATGGGGTTTTTTTTAGAAAAATCATCAGTTTCATCCGAGTTTACCGCCGTATTTGTCGAGACTTACGAAGCGCCCTGGTTATTTTTGTCTCTAGTCATGTCCGTGCATCTTCTCCTTTCCCCCTGATCTGGCTGCCCACGTAGAGAGAGTAACAGAGAGCAAACGTCTGTGTTATTGTTTGTCTCCTCTGAAAGAAAAAAAAATCTGTTTTTCAATGTGTACACTAATTCCACTGTTTTTCTGTTTCCTCATTTACTGATTTCTGCTCTGACTTTAGTCTTTCTTTCCTCCCAGGCTGGGCGCGTTTGTGTGTGTTCGTCTCCTGACATTCTGAGTTGGAGGATTCACTCATTTCTCTGAGATTTAGGACGACAGAGGAATATTCTGGTGGAAGGGTATCGGTGAGCACTCAGGTCCCGGAGTAGTCTCCAGTCTCCTGTGTCCCTGGTCAGCGGCAAGGGGGTGGTGATAAGGATCGAACAGGTCAAGGCATTGAGAAGCCAAACTGGGAGGATTGTGCATAAGTGTCATTGTCCCAGCTAAGTGGGGATGTAACAGAATGCAGGTTTTCTGACACCTCCCTATCTCTAAGTTATAACAACTCCTTCACAGGGGTGAAAACTTTTGAGAGAAGTGATGACATTTTCTCACCTAAGATTTCAGATGTGGGATGTCCTAAGAAAGGTGGTTTCCTTTTGTCTCAGAAAGAGAGACAGACAGACAGACAGACAGACAGAGACAGAGACAGAAAGACGGAGAGAGACAGATTAAGGTTCTGGTGGGGATCTTTCTTCCTGTGTCCTCACATGATCTTTTCTCTGGAGAAGAGATAGATGAGAGAGAGAGACAGACAGACAGACAGACAGACAGACAGACAGAGGCAGAGAGAGGCAGACAGAGGCAGAGAGAGGCAGAGAGAGACAGAGACAGAGAGAGGCAGAGAGAGAAATCTTGGGTGAAGGAGGCTGAAACACACACTGGTTTTTTAAGCACCGGTCTGTGTCAGTTTTAGTGATTTGTTTTTCTAGATCACAGCTTCATGCAGATTCACACGCTTATCTGTAGGGAATTTCTGCAAAGTGCCATCTTGATTCCTTTAACTTTTTCTGTGTCTGTGGTTATTTTCTCTTTTCCTTTCGTAATTCGTCTAGAAAAAGGATTATCTATTTTTATTAGACCGAAGCATATGAAATTCTTGGTTTCTTGGTCCAAACCAGTTGGATATCAGCAGTTTCTTATGGTTCAACCCGATATTATTTGCCAGGCATTTTACACCCTTGATCTCACTCAGTGTCCCCGAACGCCACATGAGGCCTACCAACTGTCACCACTTGACAGGTGAAATACTCGAGACTCAGAGAGGTTAAGTAACCTGCCCCAGAACACACAGCTGCTACATCCTAGAGCAGAGACTTAAACCCAGGTTCCTCTGATGCTCTTGCTCATCTCCTTGACTGTCACTGAGCATCTAAATAAACGCCGGATGTGTGAGGTCAGGGCTTGAGAAAGCCTCCTCTGCGGGACATCTGCTCACCCAGCCAGGAGTGGAAGTCCAGATGGGCCCCCTGCGGATAGACTGATGGGAGCTTGCGGTCAGCTTTGGGCCTAGAGCTGGGGTGGGGAAGGGACTCACGCTGAAGTATTTCTTGAGGGCCTACTATGCACCAGGCACGTGAAGACACCGAAGAGGGAGGGAGGCCCCCGTCCTCCCAGAGCTTGCATCTGAGTCTCCCACAGTCTTCAAGTGAGTGCATTTAAGAACCGGATAAAGCAAGTCAAATTAAGAATTTCGAACTCTAGGAAAAGAGAGTCAACTCCCTCCCCCCCCCCACCCCCCGGTTTGGGGGCCTGGTCACAGAATTACAAGGGTGGTGAGCAGCTGAGCACACAAGTGCCCACGGCAGGGGATGCCTCCTCTGTGTGGTGGCCAGCGTCAGGGTCGCACACAGCCCTTCGCTCTCCCAGCTGTGTCTCTGAGAACTGTTTGGGAAAATGCGGACATAAATCTTGGAAACAAAAGAAGAGCTTCCTTGCAAATAAAGTCTACAGGAGCCGGGCAAACTGAAGTAAGATAGGATGAAATGAAGGTCTTCATCAGGAACCTTTGTGTGAGTGTGGATGATTTTTACCCACACAATTCACCAGGCGTGGCCACTGTTTCTGAGAACCGTTCTTGCAGCCTTCTCGCTGCCCTCATATTCCCTTGGTGGGAACGGCCCGGTATGTGAGCAGTTCTTCAAGTCCCTGAGATGCTCGGGGGGCGGGGCGCTCTGGGGAGAGCAGGATGCTTGGGGGGAAGTCCTTCTGGTCCTGAAGGTTTAGGGAGGCCCCTGGTTTGTGAGGGGTGGGAAGGGCGGCAGGGAAGGAGGTTGGAGTCTGGAGCAAAGGGCTCCTGTGATCAAAATCTCAGGGCGACAGAGAGGGAGGGGAGGACACTCCAATGCGACCTGGCCGATGGGGGGAAACTGGTGAGAAATGGAGGGAATTTACGGGGTGGGGATCTCCAAGGCACCCCCAGCCTGGGCCCATCTAGTGAGGAGCTGGAACTCGGCTGTGTCTTCCAGGTTCTTTGTCTCTGAGTGGCCCCAGCACCGTGGAGGGCACCGTGGGGGCGTCCCTGACCGTGCAGTGTCGCTACGAAAAGAAGTTCACAGAAAATATCAAATACTGGAGAAAAGAGAAATATTGGATCTTCTGGGATACTGTGCTGACCACAGAGTCAGAGAGGAAAGGCCACGTGTCCATCAGGGACCATCCGGCGAACCTCACCTTCACTGTGACCTTGGAGAACCTCGCAAAGGATGATGAAGGCACATACGAGTGTGGGATCGATGTACCACTGGCTCAGGACCCCACCTCCAAGGTCGTGGTGTCTGTGTTTCCAGGTGAGCTGTGTTTCCAGCCTTGTACTAGATCCAGGCTGCCTGACGAGTCTGAGGTCAGAGTAGCCGAGGCAGGAGCAGGAATCAGATCAGTGTGTGTGTGTGCGTGCGCGTGTGTGTGCGTGCGTGCGTGCGTGCGTGTGTGTGTGAGAGAGAGAGAGAGAGAGAGTGCGCGCCAGTCCGGGAGGCTTTTCGAAGTAAGAGGACAGAGTTTTTTGAATAGTGTGTGTGGGCGAGAGCGCGTGTGTGTGCGTGCGTGCGTGCGTGCGTGTGTGTGTGAGAGAGAGAGAGAGAGAGAGTGCGCGCCAGTCCGGGAGGCTTCCTGGAGGAGCTGGCTCCTCTGCTCAGTCTTCAGGGATAAGAAGGTGCTTGTCAGGTGAAGGTGAGGCCAACATAGCGGAGCGCACAAGGAGAGGGAGGAGAGGAGATGCCGTGGGTCAGCCCCACACAAGCCCGAGCCGCGTCGGGGAGGGCTGGGAGCTGAACCGAGGCGGCCTTAAGTGGGAGCTCTAACGAGCGATGCGTCAGATTTGCAGTGAAGCAGACATCTCTGACAGGCAGCATGTGGCTGTTAGTTGGAAGGGGACAAGACGGGGTGTGGAGGTGACTTACGGCAGCGGTCCCCCAACCTTCGTGGCACCAGGGACCAGTGCTCCTATGAGCATCTAACGCCTGATGAGCTGAGGCGGAGCTGAGGCGGTGATGCTGGCGCTGGGGAGCGGCTGCAAATCCAGGTGAAGCTTCGCTCGTTTGCCCACCGCTCACCTCCTGCTGTGCAGCCTGGTCCCCAACAGGCCACAGACTAGTACCGGTCGGTGGCCCGGGTGTTGGGGACCCTGACTTTGGGGCTCCCCGGAGGGCTATGACTCTCCTTGGCAGAGTGGAATCAGAACTGTGCGGGGGGGTGTACCTGCATCCTGTTAGGAAATCCTCTCTCGGCCTCGGGGAGACTTCGGCCCCAGGCTCCTCCGTCCTGCCCACATCTTGACTGAGGATTTTGTGTGAAATCAAACCAAAAAGGTATGGGCGAGTAGTGGGAGAGTCAGAAGAGAGATCACCGGTCTGATTTGCGTGTCTACAGCAGCACCAGCATCTACCACCTACAAGTCACCTACGACTGTCACCAGTGCCAAGACCTCCGCAGTCACAACTGAAATTCCAACTGAGCCCACAGCTTTGCCTGTAGTGAACGTCACCTACACCGCAAACAGCCAGAAGGACCTCCAGCAGAACCAGGACTGGAGGTAAGGTTCCCTAGTCCCCGCGTCCTGGATGTGGCCCTTCTCCTTAGAGGAGCTTGAGGGACCTCCCTCCACCCCCAGCTGTGTGGGCCTGTGGGGGGTGGGAGTCACACTCCTTTGCACCAGGCCCAGGCCAGAATCCTCAGCCTGCATCTCCTAGCTTGATCTGTTAAGGCCACGCTGGACCTGCCCTGGGCTCCATGAGAACGTTCTTGGAGAGAAGCTGGGGAGTAAATAGAAGGAAAGTAACATTTAACAAGAAGTGATGACATCCCACTAAATGACTTATGTGAGTGTCCTCATAAGCCCTCACTACAACCTCTACCGTTATCACTCTCCTGTACAGATGAGTAAACTGAGGCTCGGAGAAGTTAAATCGATTAATGCCAGGTCACGTAGCTACAAGAAGCAGGCTGGGCTTCCCACCCAGGGTTACGCAATTCCAAAATCTTAGGTTCTTCCCGCTAAATAGTTATTCTTGACCTTTCTGGGGGTCTCAAATCCCAGGAGAATCTGGCAGCGTTTATAGAATGTCTCCCTAGAAAGACGCATGGTGTCCTGAACCGTTCCCGGGGTTCCTGACTCCCCATTCTGACACCGCCTGGCGTATCGCAATTCATTTCCAGCACTGACACCTGCAGGTAGCACAGACCCCACGGGTTACGGGCTCAGTCCCATAAAACCACATGACTTTGCATTTCAGAGCCTTTGGGGATACCCAGGCAAGGGCATTGTGCTTCTGACCAACTAGGTCCAAATCTGGAGGCTCCTATAAGCCCCTTGGGTTTGATAATTGGTTAGGTCGCTGATAGAAAGAAGGCAAGAAAAGGCTGAAGTGCTATTCTTATGATTACAGTTTTAGAACAAAGAACCAACAAGTGAAGAGACACGTAGGATGGAGTCTGGGAGGGTCCTGAAGGCAAAACTTTCAAGCCCTCTCTCAGCGGGCTTGGGTTCAGGGATCATCAGTCTCCTGGGACGGTGATGTATTCACCTACCGCGAAGCTCTTCCAAGCTTCGGTGTCCAGAGTTTTTATTTGGGTTTCATTACATAGACACGATTGGTTGAATCACTGGTCATATGATTGAACTCAATTCCCAGCCCTGCGCCACTCCCTGAAGGACAGGCTGGTTCGGAGCCCTAATCACGTGGTTGGTCCCCTGGTGACCAGCCCCCATCCTGAGTCACCTCCTCTCTTAGCATAATCTTGTGTGTGATGCAAGGGGCTCATAATAACAAGGAGAATCGCAAGTGTTTAGGGTACATATATCTTTCCAAGTAAGAGTCTCCCAGGAGCCAGGGGGCGAAGGGCAGTCAGATTCTTCACTCCACAACGACCCTTCCACAGGCTTCCTTTTAACCCACGTGACAATCTTCATATCAGACGATGTCAAATGCAGGCCCCGAACACATCACTTCCAGAAAGCGACTCTGCAGATACACACATGGCGAGCAGAGCTAGGTTCTGTGGGGCCTTAAGCCTGTACCGTTTTGTGGGGAGAGGAGGTGCACCTTTAAAAGATGAGAACATTAGAATGCAAGGTAGGCATGAAAGAAGCACGTGAGGGCCCCAACCCTAACTCATGTCGGCTTCCCATAAGTCGGCTGCTGCTCAGCCACAGGTGCAGCGGTGGAGGTACAAGGTGACTCTTTGCGATTGTGTTTTTTTTAGTGTTTGTCATTGTAAAAGACTTGGGGAAATGCCCATTAAAAAAAAAAAAGAGTTCGATAAATAATGGTCCGTCCATGCTGTGGAATACTATGCAGCTATAGAAAAGAGCGAGGGACTTCTATATGCTGACATGGAAAGCTCTCCAAGAGGTACCGTTAAGCAAAAAGCTAGTATTTATCCTTTGCCTCCTTTGCGTGATAACGGGAGGGAAATAATGTGAACTCGTATTTTCTCATATCCGAATAAAGAGTCTCTGGAAGGTTCTTAAGGATAATATGTGTTGGGGCGGGGAAAAGTGGATAGGTGGGGATTGTGTAGAAAGGAGATTTTATCCTGTTTCTTTTTAATTAAAGTTATTGGGATAACATCGTTTATTAACATTATATATAAATTTCAGGTGTACGACTTCATGATATCTGCAGACTTTATTGTGTGCTCACCACCCAAAGTCTATTCTCTTTCCGTCACCATGTTTTGATCCCCTTTATCCTCCCAAATCTCCCCACCTCCCTAACCTCTGCTAACCACCATTCTGTATCTGCGAGTTTGGTTTTTGTTTGCTTGTGTGTTCGATTTTGTTCGTCGCTTCCTGTTTTGTATCCCACATGAGTGAAATCCTATGGCGCCTGTCCGTTTCCGTCTGAATTATTTCCCTTAGCAGAATACTCTCAAGGTCCAACCATGTTGTCTCAAATGGCAATATTCTATCGTTCGTTTATGGCTAGATAGTATTACACTGTATATATGTGCTACATCTTTTCTTTACTCAGTCATCTGTCAAAGGACCTTTGGGTTATTTCCATGTCTTAGCTATTGTGAATAATACTGCAATGAACGTGGGGGTACCTATATCTTTACAAATAAGAGTCTTCAATTTGGGGAGGTAGCCACCCAGAAGAGGAATTGCTGGGTCATATGGTAGCTCTATTCTTAAATTTTTGAGGAAACGACATGGTTTCCGTTTTCTGCAGTGGCTACGCCAATGTCCATTTCCCACCAAGGGTGCACAAGAGTTCCCTTTTCTTCACGTCCTTGCCAGCTCTTGCTATGTCTTGTCTTATTGATGATAAATAGCCATTCTAACAGGTGCGAGGTGGTGCCTCGTCCTGGTTTTGATTTGCATTTCTCTTGTAACTAGTGATATTCGGCACCTTTTCATATATCTGTTGGCCAGTTGTATATCTTCCTTGGAATTTTTTTTTAAATGTGACCTTATCTATCTATTGAAACAAAGGAGGTGAGGCAGGTCCCCTGTTCCACCTGCCCTATCCTGTGTCCGTCCTCCAGGCTCTATGTGCTGCTCTCGTTGTTAGCAATTCTGCTGCTTCTGTTGGGGGGCACCTCACTGCTGGCCTGGAGCAGGAGATGGACCAGAGGTGAGTTTGATCGGGGTGGGCGGGCCCTGACCACATCCTGTCACTTTCAAAGCTCTGTGTCCTTGCCCCCAAAATGAATATCAAATGTATGTCCTCAGACTGCAGATCGGATGATTCTAGGGGCCAGACCCTGAGCGGTGACCCCAGTATGGTAGGGACAGATTGTGGGAGGCAGCTCTCTGGAAGGTGGCCTTTCCCACGGTGGGGCCCCGTGAAGCAGTGTGCCCCATCTGTTTAAAACCCTTCCATGACCTCCCACATCCTCAAAAGTCCAGGCCCCTACAGGACAGTCACGGCCCTGAACAGTCTGGCCTGGCCCACCCCTCCCCCCACCCTCGCGCCCTGAAAGACAGCTGTTCCCACCTTCTTGTCACTTGCGGAGAGCCATGACCTAGGCGAGTCTCACCTTCTGTGTTCTCTCTGGGCACCTGGAGCGCTTCCCGTACCTCTCCCTGACTCACTCCTGGTGGGCCCAAAAGGCTGCCATCAGAATTCCTTTCCTCTTTAGGGGACCTTTTCCTGGCCCCCAAAGACTGGATTGGGGGCCCCTCCTGGGCGTACTTCTGAACCTCTGCCATCGTAGCCCTTTCTGCCCCAGATGGGTACCACCTTCTTCCCGGCCTGCCGCCCGCCAGCCCGTGCAACTCCTTAGCATCGGGACCGTGGCTCGAGAAGGCACACGATCCGTGCTCGTTAAATTAATATCTCCAGCTGCAACAGCCCCCCCAGGAAGCTGCTGTGGTCCAGCTGCTCTCCTGTGAGCTCAGATTAAAAGTGAGAACATGTAGGGGGCACCCAGCACCCGGTCTGGCACCAATAAACACTTGACATGTGAATTAAGTAAATAGAAGAGCAGAGAACAGATGATGCCATGACTTTCTTGTTGCTGGCTGGAGGCCAACGGACACCTGTAGGAGCGTGGATTTCTGCAGGAGATGGAGCGTGAGCCCGATGTTCCCTTCCTGGGCCAAGAGATCTTGATTCCCCGAGCAGCGGGTTCTCCAAGGAATTTTTGTCTAGACTTTTAAAGTGAGATTGGGGTGAGCAAAGAGGAGGTTACCCTCTTCACAGCTGCAGGGTTTATTGGGAGCCGGTTCATGCTGGGGGCCGGGACAGTGTGTGGGGAGGACTTCTGCCTCATGCCCTCACCGCCAGCCCCCCCAACACCCCCGACCCCTCCCTGGGGCCCAGCCTGCCTATCACGGCTCAGGCCGTTAGGAAAGGGATCAGGTATCTGCACGTCTGAGCTCGATGTATGTAAAGAAAATCATATCCTTTTCCTCATCTGCCGCTCCCACATCACTTGACGCCTTTCCAACGTCAGCAGACACTTGAGCGCTGCCTACCTCATGGGGATTTCCCAGCCTGGGTTCTTGCAAAATCTGTGGGTCTCAGTGATTTCATCCAGAAAGCTTCCCTCTTAAAAAAGAGAAATGAGATTGTTGTAGAAAATTCAAAAGTAAATAAAAGCACAAAGGAGGAAATAAACCCCCATAATACATGAAAACTTAAAGCTCGCACCACCCGGAGGAGACCAGCCACTGCCGTTTGAGGTATGTCCTTCTGCCTCTTTTCGATGCCGATTTATGCACATGTGATTTCTTAAAATGTTTGCTTCATACCATTATTTCTCTTTGAAACCTATTTTTCTTGCACTTACCATATTATATCATCTACCCTGCTAGTAAATGTTCTTCTGAAAATCCCTGACTGTGAGCTCACCGGCAGGCGGGTGGACTACGCCGTCTGAACTGCTCCTCTGAGGGGACAGGCTTTCTGCCGGAATATTCTGCCTCTTCCTCCCCTGGCTTTCAAATCTCAGCTTCTGTCTCCCGACCAAGTCTGGGCTCTCTTCCCATCCATCGTCCCTCAGCCCACGCTCATTCATTCATTCGTGTGTTCGGAGCAGCTACTGTGCGCCAGGCCCTGTGCTGGACGCTGGGGGACCCTGTCGTAGACCGAGGTCCACCATCCAGCTGGCTACCGCCGAACTTTCTCCAGGCCACTGCCTTCCCCGGCGATGCGCTGCCATCTCTTCCCGGCCACCCCTGCCGTCCTCCCCACCAGAACCCCCGTCCCAGCCGAGGGGGAGGGTGGCATGGAGCCCGCACGCGGCATCCGACACAGGACGCGTTCACACCCCAGAGCACCTGGACTGAGCGGGCTCAGCAAACACTTCTCGTGATCTCGTGTCTCCGACTGTGGGTGTCTCACCTTGGACTTTGGGGATCCCTGAGGGCCCACAGTGTCTCTCCCTGTGACAGCGGGCTCTGGGCATCCTGGCTGTGTGTGCATCACCCGATGCCCATCAGCTCCTGGGGCCCGGGTTGGCAGGGCCAGGGGGCCCTGAACTGTGATCCCTCTGAGCCACTGGGCCTTCTGCGTGTGAGGGACAGACCCTCAGGCCAGGGGTCAGAGCAGATGGGACCCCAGTGACTTTTCACGACTTTTGATGCAGTTCTAGGTCTTTGCAAGGACAGTTTCTTTTCTTTCGTTTTTTTTTTAATTAAAAACTTTTTTAGGGCTTGTTAAAACACAGATGGCTGAACCACGTCTCCAGCGTTTCTGATTCAGTATGTCTGGGGTGGAGGCCTGCGGATCTGCATGTGTGTGTGTCGGGGGCGGGGTGGGTATAAAAGCACATGACGTAACATTTGCCTTCCTAACCATTTTTGAGTTTACAGGGCGGTAGTGTTCAGCGTCCTCACCGTGCTGTGAAAAAGGTCTCGCGTCTCTTGCATCTTGCCAACAGGTCCTCTCCGACAGGCGTTCTGTCTCTCCTGCTTTCTCCCACTTGGGACTATTCTCCACGAGTGACCGTTTTGAGAACTAGCTTTGTCTGCCACTCCCCCCAAGCCGAGCCCACTAGTTCATTTGTTCACTTATTCACTCACTCACTCACGCATTCATTCATTGTGTCATTTACTAATTCACTCAGTCAACAACCCCTTGAGTTCCGGCTGCACTGCAGACCTGAGGTGATAGGTCCCCAAGGCTGACGTCTCTAGGGAAAGGCCTTGGTCCAGGTGGACGGCAGGGAGCCCCATCCCTGCCCTGTCCTGGGATTCAGCCTCCTCACTGTCCTCTTGTCTCCTTAGCTGGTGGGAATCCAGAGCCACCGCAGAATCCCAGGCAGGTAAGAAAAGGAGGAGTGTCAGGTGGCCGGGTGGGGACACAGGGACGTTGGGGGCTGCACGACAATGTACCGGCTGCCGAGGGCTCGGGTGGATCACAGATGGGTGGAGCAGGGTGCTCGCCCGAAGCAGGAAGAATGTGTCTGGGAGAGCTGGTCACTGGGTCTTGTCTCGAGCTCTGGCCAGTTCGTCCCCTCCGCCCAGGGAAAGTGGAACGAGGGAGGGTCCTCCCAGCTCCGTCACCCAGAGAGACCTGAGGGTCGGGCGGGAGGGGAGCAGGGCGGGAAAGCTGGGGCTGGAGCACCCAGAGCACGACAGGAAGGGGAGGCGTCTGCAGAGAAGCGGAGACAGAGGCGGGTGTGGGCTGGACCACGGAGAGGCCCCGTGGACAGCCAGCCAAACCCGCCCTCCGGCCCACCGCAGGGTCCCCAGCAGACCGAGCCCTGCTATGCCAACCTGGAGCTGCAGACACAGCGTCTGTGGGCCGAGCCTGAGTGGCCCAGGCAGGCGGAGGCGGAGTACAGCACAGTGGTGAGTGTCGGGGCCGGTTCCCGGCGTGGGGACACCGGGCCGTGCCAGGTGCGTCACCTTAGGGGGTGGTGCTTTGGTGATTTCGTGTCTCTCCAGGACAGCACCGCACAGAAAATGAGACAGGTGCCGATTTTGCCAGCACATGGCGTCATTGTGACTGGGGGTTGGGAGTGGACGGGGGGAGGTGGAGGGGCTATTGGAATAGCCAGTGAACATGGCCTTGATAGCCAATAAAGTAAAGCTTTTGTTACGCACCTACTGTGTGCCATAGACCCAGTGTTAAAACCTGTGATTTCTCACTGTGCTGGTCCCAGCATCTCTGTGGTATCGAGGCTGCTTTTCCGTTTTTTATCAATGACCTGCTACAGGCAGAGCCACTGTTAAGTGGAATAATGGGAGAGACTGCACAGGGTCGTGACCCACCCGTGAGTGGAGTTCAGGCAGGGGCGGGGCCCACTGGGCGGAGAAGATGGGCCTGAGCCAAGGCCCGGGGCTCTGTGCCATGGCCGACCAGGTGGGGTGGAGGCAGGCGGGCAGGATTTCGGGGCCCAGTCCTCACGGGAGAAGGAGGCCAGGACAGTGGGGAAGGCTGCGGTGCTCCCTGGGGAGCCTCCCCAGGGCCCCCTGGGTGTCCCCCCATCCTAAGCTGGGGTGTGCTTCCCTCCCTTCTCCCTGAGTCCCGGGTCTCTCTCTCTGCAGGGCGCCCCCAGGGAAGAGCTTCACTACAGCTCGATAGTAGTCAACAACCAGAGTCAGGATTCTAAGGACACAGTTCCCCACCAGAGGCCCCCGCCGCAGAATCCAGTATACAGCGTGATCAGGAGGACATAGGCTGTGCCTCTGGCCTTGCCACCTGGAAGCCTCCATGGGCCACAGGAAGCCCAAGGCTGGCCCCCCTCACCCTCACCCACTCTCCCCTCAGCCCATTCCCCTCAGCGGCAACCGGCAAGGCAGCTGGGCACCTGCGGCTTGTGCCTCTGGCCCCGTCAGCCCCTCTGGCTTCACTGGGGACAAGCGGGGATGGGGTGCTGGTGCAGACCTGCAGGAATCGCTCCCACCCTGCTGGCCCTCGTCACATCTTCCGTCTTTCTGCTTCATTCTGGCTCTGTGTGGAGGGCGGGACCTCAGTCCTATGGGACCCCAGGAACAGACGTGGCTTATGTGGGATGTTGCCTCCGAAAAGCTTTGTGCATCGAGACCCTGTGGAGGTGTCTGGGGTTCCTGGCGGGGGCGGGGGGTCGGGGGGGCAGGAGAACTGGCAGAGAGCCAGGAAAATGCAAAGGCACGGAGATTGGGCCCCCTCAGCTCAGACAAAGGGACTGAGGCTGGAGAGAGGCGAGGCTTGCCCGCGGCGCCAGGACCAGCTGTGGGCAGCTGGTTCTGGACTCGTAGACAGGTTTATTTTTGATATATGAAACATCAATAAAGTTTGAAATATCCTAAGAGAGAAGAAAATTACTTAAACAATGCCTGCGAGGTGTCTGCCATCCTGTATTAAAGCGATCTCTTGGCTTTGATCCCAAATGAACACACAGACGTTGGGAGGGCCTAGTGGGGTTGGGGACAACGTGAGGACGTCATCATTGAGTGACAGAGGACCAATCACAGCTGATTCTCTCTGTACCGGAGGACTCGGCAGGGATTTCTGTCGAGGGGACCCCGATTTCAGTTCCTTTAGGAATACACCCAGGAGTGAAATTGCTGGATCATATGGTCCAATTTTTAATTTTTTTAAGGAACTGCTATACTGTTTTCTACTGCAGCTGTCGCGTTTCACATTCTCACCAACTGTAAAACGAGATTTCATGTTTCTTCACGCCCTCACCAACATTTATTTCCTGTTGTGGTTTTTTGTTTGTTTGTTTGTTTTGATCTTTCATAGTAGCCATCCTAATGGTTACGAGGTGGTATCTAATTATAGCTTTGATTTTCATTTCCCCAATAATTGGTGAGGTTGAGCACCTTTTCATATGCTTATTGGCCATTTGTATGTCTTCTTTGAGGAGCTGTCTAGTCAAGTCCTTTGCCCATTTTTGAATCAGATTTTTTTTTATTATTATTATGTTTTAGAAATTCTCTATTTATTCTGGATATTGATCCCTTATCAGGTATATGATTTGCAAATATTTTTTCTGATTTCGTGGGTTGCTTTTTTCTCTCATTTTGTGGGTTGCTTGATACTCTGAAAATTTTTAATGTACTTAAAAATTTCCACGAAGTCCAATTCGTCTATTTTTTCTTCTGTTGCCCACGCCTTTGGCATCATTACCAAGAAATCATTGCCAAATTCAATGCTAAGCTTTGCCCTATGTATTCTTCAAAGAGTTTTATAGCTTTAGGTTTACATTTAGGTCATTCTGAGCTAATTTTTGTATGTATTGTTAGGTAAGAGAACGGTTTAATTCCTTTGCATGTGAATATTCAGTTTTTCTAGTGCCATTTGTTAAAAAGATTATCTTTTCCCCCATTGAATGGTCTTAACTCCTTTATAGAAAATTATTTGACCGTATATATTCCTGAACTCTATTTTAGTCCATTGGTCTATATGTCTTTTATGCCAGTATCATTCTCTTATATTTACTCTAGTTAGTAAGTTTTGAAATCAGGAAGTGTGAGTCCTCCAGCTTTGTTCTTCTTTTTCAAGATTATTTTGACTACACAGGGTCCCACGAGATTCCACATGAATTTTACAATGGGTTTTTCTATTTCTGGGAAAAAAAATGTCATTGCAGTTTTGATAGGATTTCACTGAATCTGCAGATTGCTTTGGGTACTATTGACATTTTAACGGTCTTAATTCTTCCAATCCATGAACATGGGATGTGTTTCCATGTTCGATATACAAATGTACAAATCGTACAAATCTTTCACCTCCTTGGTTAAGTTCATTTCTAAGTATTTTATTATTTTTGATGCTATTGCTAGCAAGATAGTTTTCATGATTTCCTTTTCAGATTGATCATTATTAGTGCATAGAAATGCAACTGATTTTTGAGTGCTGGTTTTTTTTTTTTCCTGCTATTTTACTAAATTCATTTGTTCTGTTATTTCTGTTAATTTTTCTAAGTTTGGTAATTTCAGCCTTCTCTCTTTTTCTCCTAGGAAAAGGTTTGTCAGTTTTGTTGATCTTTTCAAAGAACCAGCTTTTTTTTTTCCCCTGTTCATTTTCATTTATTTATTTTTTTTCTATTCTCTATTTTGTTTCTGTAATTTTTATTATCTCCTTCCTTATGCTAGCTTTCGGCTTATTTTATTCTCCTTTGTCTAGTGCCATAAATTACAAAGTTAAGTTTCAATCTGAGACCTTTCACATTTTTAAAGTAAAGCATTTGCAACTATAAATTCCCCCCTTAGCACTGCTTTTGATATGTTGTGTGTTTGTTTTTATCCACTCTAAGTATTTTCTAATTCGCTTTATGATTCTTCTTTGACCCACTGGGTGTCTGTCTAAGAGTGTGTCGTTAGTGCATTTTCCAGTTTTACTTTCGTTATTGATGTCTAGCTTCATTCTTTTGCGGTCAGAGAGGATACTTTGTATGATATCTGTCTTTTTAAAATCTATCGAGGCTTAGTCGTGGCCTCCCATATGGTCTGTCTTGGAAAATGTCCCCTGTGCATTATTAAGAAGACTGTGTACACTGCTGTTGTTGGGTAACGTTCTGTATCTGTCTGTTAAATCTGGTTGATTTATTGTGTTGTTTAAGTCCTCTATGTCCTTCCCTTATCTCTCTCTGGTTGTTTTATCCATTATTAAGAGTAGGATATTGAAGTCTCCGACTATTACTATAGAACGGTCTATTTCTCCCTTCAATTCTGGAGCGTTTTGTTTCCATATATGTTGACGGTCGATTGTTAGGTGTGTAAATACCTATCATTGTTATAACTTCCTGCTGTTACGACCTCCTCCAGGTTCATGTTATAGGAGACAAATAACCCTAAACCTCATTAAGTCACCGTTCGCTGGGATTTCTTCTATTTACATTCTACACTGAGTGTAGATTCCATTCTAAACTGAGGTAGTGGCCTAACCCGGCATCTTTTCCTGTTTGGTTAGAGATGTTCGCTAAAGCGCCGCAGCCCACCCACGTGGAGGAAACATTGGTTCCAGAATGTTCTAATCAAGGTAGTTTCCATTTACTCACTCATCCATGTAGTCGTTGGTTCAACAGAAATGATTTGGGTTCTGCTAAAGGCAGCAGTGAAAATACAGCAGCAAAGATGGTGACAAGGAAGCACCATCCCTGTCCTCAAGGGCGATGATACGAAATTATGAGATTCCTGGAGGAATAATAGCAGGACAGCCTCACACAGCCGTGAAGCCCAAGCACGGCGCAACTCAAGGTGGCGTCTGTCACGCAGAACACGGGGCTGCCTGGTGCTGCCTGGAGCTGAGCCGTTTGAAGTCCTGACGATGAGACCTTGGAAGGTGAATGTAAAGAGTATCGTAGAACCTTATGATGTGGACAGAGCTTAGTCGTGTACAGTGGTCCCCTCTTTCTCCACGGTTTTGCTTTCCGGGGTTTCGCTTACCTACAGTCAAATGCCGTCTGGAAATTTTAAATGGAAAATTCTAAAATAAAAAATTCGGAAGTTTTAAATTGCATGCTACTCTGAGATAAAATCTCTCACCCTTCTGCTTCATCCCGCCGGGAATGTGAATCATTTCTTTACCCAGCTTATCTGCGCTGGATACACTACCGCTCATCAGTGGCTTAGTAGCTGTCTTGGTGATCAGATCGACCTTGTGTTATCACAGTGCTTGTGTTCAAGGAACGCTTGTCTCACTTAATAATGGCCCAAAGAGAAAGAGTAGTGATGCTGGTGATTCAGATCTGCCAAAGAGAAGCCGTAAAGAGCTTCCTTTAAGTGAAAATGTATGCATGTATAGGGGAAAACATAATACATATAGGATTTGGTACTATCCACAGCTTCGGACATCCACTGGGGTCTTGGAACGTATCCACTGGGGTCTATCCACAGCTTCAGACATCCACTGGATAAGGCGGGACCACTGTAACTTGGTGCGGATAAGCACTCAAAAATATCTGTTGCCATAGATTCAACCCAGTCACATTCCGGGCCTGACCTAAAGTGGCTCTTACAGGTATCCCATTTCCAATCGGAGAGTGACCTCTGCAGGGTGATCTAAAACTCAAAGGGACATGGTAGAAGATAGAATCTAAGATCTAAAGAGTTATCTGAAGGACTCTTCCAATGGCATGAAGTTGAAATCTTTATGTAGTCTGAATTTCCACCAATTAGAGAGAAAGATTCTGTAAAATGCAAATATCTAGAGTGTTCGTCACGGTAGCCGATACTAGCTGCTGTAACAGCCATGACCACGATGACGGAACTGGCT